TTGTGAATATATATCCTGCAAAATGAATGTGATAGCCTTGCAATTAAATTAGCATTATATATATATATTCACAATGCTCTTACAACAGCCTTTAGTTAATTTAGCACTAGCAGTATTTATATATTACCAATGTTAAAATTAATTGGAATGCTATTGGGGTACTGTGTCATAATGGTGGGATTAACATGATACGGCCATATGGTGGAACTGTATCCCTATATTTGTTGCTGAGATGGGTGATTTTAAGTAGCATAGAACTGTATTTTTGTGTGTGCGACATACCTTTTTTTTTTTATTATACATTTTGGTCTCTACGGAAGCACGACTGCGGAGAAATGTATAATCTAGGTGTGCCCCCAATTCCCATTATTTCATTTTATTTCAGAAACCACCTATAGAATTACTACTTACTCAGTTTTGCACTTGACTCTCACAGCCATCGTTCGGTTACATCTGCTTCCACCAAACCGGCAAAGTAAACTTCATCAGGAAAAGGTAATTATGCAAATCGTGTCAAGACCAGGCGGCGATGTGCAAAGTCCAGTAAGGTCGTGCTCATAAAAAGGGGTATTAATTCATGTGATAACAATATGTCTGCCTCTTTAGAAATCAATGCTAAAACCTTAAAAATTTCTCTCTATATATATTTTATCCTTTGAAAGATACCATAACACTGCTTCCACAAATCTCATTATATAGATGTTTTTTTTTTTCTAAATAGCAGGATGTCTAAATCTAAATCTTAATTTTAATTCTATTCTGAACATTTCTAAGCTTTATTATTTCTTAGAGAATTACTTATTTGAGAATCGTTGTTCTATGTGGATTAATTTCAAATGAACCCCCTCTGTTCTCCTCAGTACAATAGGACATCATTAGTGTCATAAAACAGCACACATGGATTCTATCATGTTCACGTTAGTTGGCGGGTGCCCAGCATGATGCCCGCTTACTATGAAGAGAAATGGTAGGCAGGGGCGTATTAGCCGCGAGGCAAACAAGGCATTTGCCTTGGGCGGCATTTTTCAGGGGGCGGCAAAAAACGCCGCCCCCCAAATGCCCAAGGCAAATGTCTTGTTAGCCTCGCAGCTAACAGACATTCTGGGCGCTGGGCGGCAGTGGCTGCAGCGCTGGGCGGGCGGGCAGGCGGCCGGCGAGGGAGCTCTTCCCCTGAGCGCTCTGCTCAGCTCCCTCGCGCGCCGCCAGCAGAGTGAGGATGGGAGCCGGGTTGATGACGTCATATTCCGGCTCCCAGCCTCACTCTGCTGGCGGCGCGCGAGGGAGCTGAGCAGAGCGCTCAGGGGAAGAGCTCCCTCGGTGGCCGCCCGCCCGCCCTGCAGCCACTGGACCCCAGGGAGAGGAAGAACCCCCCCCAGCATTACCAAAGGTAAGGAGGCTGGGGGGGGTTAAATAAAAAAAATAAAAAATAAAAACACTAGTGAGTGTGTGTATGTCTGTTAGTGTGTGTATGTATGTTAGTGTTAGTGTGTGTATGTTAGTGTGTGTGTGTGTTAGTGTGTGTATGTTAGTGTGTGTGTGTGGATGTCTGTTAGTGTGTGTGTGTATGTTAGTGTTAGTGTGGGTCTGTTAGTGTGTGTATGTTAGTGTTAGTGTGTGTCTGTTAGTGTGGATGTCTGTTAGTGTGTGTGTTTGCCTGTTAGTGTGTGTGTGTGTGTGTGTGTTTGCCTGTGAGTGTGTGTGTCTGTTAGTGAGTGTGTGAGTGTGTGTCTGTTAGTGAGTGTGTGTTTCTGTTAGCTAATGAATGTGTGTGTGTGTATTAGAAGGCGGAGCAGGGGGGAAGGTTGGGTGGCGGTTGCGCGGGTGGGGGTGGCGCGGGGGGGGGTGCCTGAGTTTTGTCCTGCCTAGGGCAGCACAAAATCAGGATACACCACTGATGGTAGGAGTGTCTAAAGTAAATAAGATACACAGTAACAAAGATTTTCTAAAAAAAATTGTATGGGTAACAATATAGCGAAATGCACGTATAAAAGCAATGTCACATCACAATGAACATCTACCTGTTTCCACTAGTTACATGAACCTCAATACCTCACTAAGAGATCATTTTAATAATTCAGTTTTCTTCCTGTTAGTGCACATGTTAAAGAGCAAGGTCCCAGTCACCTTTACCAGGTTACAGCACGGAGATAAACTGTCAGCTTTCTGGATATTTTGCAAATGCCCACCCTAGGAAACAATCCCTGCGTGGTGGAATTTCGGTGGGCGAATGAGAGAGATAGATGAACTCATGTCATGTTCGCTCTCTCTCTGTGATATCTTGTTTCCTTCTTGTGGAATTCCAGAATCCCTCTCAGCTCTACATATGGCTGGTGCACCATCTGATTGACAAATCAACCGGGCTGACTCTACCATATGGCCTGGCCTGGGGGTGTAAATATCCAGTTGGCCAGCCTGGGGGTGTAAATATCCAGTTGACCAGCAGGAAAGAAGTGCACAGCATTCCTCTACTGACTGTCATTTACTGTATTGTGGCCGAACGCCAGTACCTCCACAGCCCGGTGCAGGAAGAGAGGGAGCGCGAGGGAGATTTGATCCAGATCCACATTTCCTGTATAGCTCCCTCGTGCGCCCTGTAGAGGTCCTGGGAGCTGCAATATGGCGTCAGGAAATGCAGATCTAAGTCGGAGCTCCCACAAAGGAGCACTGCGGCAGCCCACTCGACACCAGGCTGTGGATCAACTCCAGGTCTCCAGAAGGTAGGGAGACTGGGTGGATTGAAGAGAGAGAGTGTGTGTGTCTGTGTGTGTCCCTTACAATACTGCCCCTTTTCCCTTACCCCCACAATAGCCACAGCCCCCATAATGCTGCCCTCCCCTCATACTGTTCCTATCCCCCTAGTACCCCACAATACTGTTCCTATCCCCCCTCCCACCATAGCCCCTGTCCCAGTCCCCCATAATGCTACCTTGTCCCTCAAAACTGTTCCAATCCCCCCCACCATACCCCCAGTCCCCCACAATGCTGCTACACCTCCCACAATACCGCTCCAGCCCTCCATACTGTTCCTAACCCCCAACATAGCCCCAGTCCCCCACAATACTGCCCGTGCCCCCCACTAAAGTTCCTTACCTCACAATACTGTTCCGATCCCCCCTCCATAGCTCCAGATCATACAACACTGTTCCTATCCCCCCCACCATAGACTCAATCCCCCACAATACTGTTCCTATCCCCTCACTAATGCCCCTGTCCCACACAATACTGCCCATATCCCACCACACTAAAGCCCCACACACACACACAGTACTAAAGCCCTGTACAGAATATATTGCGCTATATATATTATAATAATAATAATAAACTCCCTATACCACACAATTCTGCCTCTATCACCCACACTAAAGCACAGTGACACAGAAAGAGGCTGGTGGGCAAGTAAAAGACACAGGGGGGGTGTAAGACACTAAGGGTGGTGTAACACACATAGGGAAAATACATTCAAGATGGGATATGTAACACTAAAGGGGGTAAGAAATGTAAAAGAGGGTTACGAGGCACAATTTCTTTTCATTTGGGGGGGGGGGGACAAATTCATATTTACCTGTGTTGGCAAAAATCCTTGCCCTTGCCACCAGAGGTGCTTCCAGGAGTTTCACAGATGACATCCATAGACAAGGAAAACACTATAGGAAAGCAGTAAGGAAATGGTTTCCTAAGGGGAATGTCTAATGTGTGTGCATTAGGTCTGCCCCATCGAGTGACGTCAGAGATAACTGGACTCAGGTAAGTGGAAAAAAAAGGTTTTTTACCCTTACTTCATGGGGGGGGGGAGTCGAAGTTTCAGAGGAACACAGTGTTAGCAATACATCTTTGTATTCCTAACACTAAAGGGTTCCTTTAAGCTGTACCATCTGTGACATTTTTACATATCTAGTGCTGTTGACGTTGTAAGTAGAATAAATGTATATTTTTAATAAAGAATGTCAGAATGATTATTAATATTTATGGGTGATATAGAAGCATATTACAGCAAGCCATTTACATTAAAAGATGTATTCATAAAAAGACTTACTCCAATCACCCTTAACATATACACATTTATTACATACACTATCTTCACTGATCAACCACAGCATTATAACCACCTGCCTGGTATAGTGTAGGTCCCTCTCAAACCAACTCTGATGCGTAGAGGCATGGACTCTGCAAGAACTCTGCCCGTGTTGTGTGGTATCTGTAACGGGACCTCTTCCGGTAACCCGACCGGTTACCTCCCGTTAGTTCCCTTCCTTCAGCCAATCAGGAACTCTTACATGGTTAGGGGACTTAGCTCTATGCGCTTAGCTCTCAACACTCAGCCCTGGAAGCTCTTAGTCCTTACAAGGACTTTTCCCCGTTGCATCCCCTGCAAGCTGGAACAGCAGACACAGGGGTTAAATCTTCCTTCCCTTCAATAACAGGACGACACAAAGTTTTGGAGGCTCAAGCACTGACCTCTGCCAATCTTGATTCAACACAGGGTTCTTTTATGCACAGACCCTCGCAGGGGATCTCCATTGCACACAATACACTTCCCTTAGTCCCAGGCAGGAGGGGGCTGGGTTGCAGATAGCCATCTCCCGCCCTGGGATACCAAGATTACACAGGAATACACATTAAACCATACAGGGAGTGCAGAATTATTAGGCAAGTTGTATTTTTGAGGATTAATTTTATTATTGAACAACAACCATGTTCTCAATGAACCCAAAAAACTCATTAATATCAAAGCTGAATATTTTTGGAAGTAGTTTTTAGTTTGTTTTTAGTTATAGCTATGTTAGGGGGATATCTGTGTGTGCAGGTGACTATTACTGTGCATAATTATTAGGCAACTTAACAAAAAACAAATATATACCCATTTCAATTATTTATTATTACCAGTGAAACCAATATAACATCTCAACATTCACAAATATACATTTCTGACATTCAAAAACAAAACAAAAACAAATCAGTGACCAATATAGTCACCTTTCTTTGCAAGGACACTCAAAAGCCTGCCATCCATGGATTCTGTCAGTGTTTTGATCTGTTCACCATCAACATTGCGTGCAGCAGCAACCACAGCCTCCCTGACACTGTTCAGAGAGGTGTACTGTTTTCCCTCCTTGTAAATCTCACATTTGATGATGGACCACAGGTTCTCAATGGGGTTCAGATCAGGTGAACAAGGAGGCCATGTCATTAGATTTTCTTCTTTTATACCCTTTCTTGCCAGCCACGCTGTGGAGTACTTGGACGCGTGTGATGGAGCATTGTCCTGCATGAAAATCATGTTTTTCTTGAAGGATGCAGACTTCTTCCTGTACCACTGCTTGAAGAAGGTGTCTTCCAGGAACTGGCAGTAGGACTGGGAGTTGAGCTTGACTCCATCCTCAACCCGAAAAGGCCCCACAAGCTCATCTTTGATGATACCAGCCCAAACCAGTACTCCACCTCCACCTTGCTGGCGCCTGAGTCGGACTGGAGCTCTCTGCCCTTTACCAATCCAGCCATGGGCCCATCCATCTGGCCCATCAAGACTCACTCTCATTTCATCAGTCCATAAAACCTTAGAAAAATCAGTCTTGAGATATTTCTTGGCCCAGTCTTGACGTTTCAGCTTGTGTGTCTTGTTCAGTGGTGGTCGTCTTTCAGCCTTTCTTACCTTGGCCATGTCTCTGAGTATTGCACACCTTGTGCTTTGGGCACTCCAGTGATGTTGCAGCTCTGAAATATGGCCAAACTGGTGGCAAGTGGCATCGTGGCAGCTGCACGCTTGACTTTTCTCAGTTCATGGGCAGTTATTTTGCGCCTTGGTTTTTCCACACGCTTCTTGCGACCCTGTTGACTATTTTGAATGAAACGCTTGATTGTTCGATGATCACGCTTCAGAAGCTTTGCAATTTTAAGAGTGCTGCATCCCTCTGCAAGATATCTCACTATTTTTGACTTTTCTGAGCCTGTCAAGTCCTTCTTTTGACCCATTTTGCCAAAGGAAAGGAAGTTGCCTAATAATTATGCACACCTGATATAGGGTGTTGATGTCATTAGACCACACCCCTTCTCATTACAGAGATGCACATCACCTAATATGCTTAATTGGTAGTAGGCTTTCGAGCCTATACAGCTTGGAGTAAGACAACATGCATAAAGAGGATGATGTGGTCAAAATACTCATTTGCCTAATAATTCTGCACTCCCTGTATTACATTCAAGGGGGTTACACTTTGGGGCTCGGCACCCCTGGAAGGGAAAGTTACAGGGTTGAAACCTACATCGCTAGATAGCCCCGGGTCTCATCTGGGATGCCTGCAAAAAGTGGGGCGATCGGATGCACAGTGCCCGAGATATCAGCATTGAAAGTCTGGGGCTCGAGGCTCTGTACATCCCCGAAATTACTTCCATGTCGTTGCTTGGTTTAGTTCGCGCCCAAACCAAGCAACAACCAATCAGCTGAAAGTGCGCAAACCAAATTGCACCAATCAGAGTTCTGGGGAGGAAGGTGTTTCGCCGCTCAATCCGAAGAAAGGGCGTGAAACTCGGCGGCACCAATCGGTGCTCGGGGAGTAGAGGGGTTTCGCTGCCTAATCGTAGCTCCCAGGTAGGGGAAAGGGACTAGTGACTACAGCTCCCTTGAGAGCGGGTAGGACGGTCCTCAACACAGGGACTGAAGACAGAGTGCGCAGGCTGGTTCGGGATACGAATGCGGCAACCCAGGGGATGCACGTTAGCGAGGGGTGAACATTCTAACTACACATTCTAAATGGAGTATCGGGGTGGTACGGTGCACGGGGCTCATGCGCCTGAGCGCCCCCGCGTGGCTAAAAAGTAAAATGCATTATACAGTATAAAAATACAAGGGGAAACATATTTGCAACAAGGGAAAATCAATACACAATACACATTACGGACACAAAATACAAAACCAAACATCTGAATACTCAGTGGGCATGGCACTTAGAGGCGGTGTCCCGTCACAGTATCTGCCACCAAGACATTAACAGCAGCTTTGTTGTTCCATCACATCCCACAAATGCTTATTTGGATTGAGATCTGGGGAATTTGGAGGCCAAGGCAAAACTTTAAACTCATGTTTCTCAAGATATTTCTAAACACATTTTTCAGTGTGGCAGGGTGCATTATCCTGCTGAAAGAGACCACTGCCATCAGGGAACATCCCTGACATGAAGAGGTGTTTGTGGTCTGCAACAATCTCTAGGTAGGTGGTTCATGTCAAAGTAATATCCACATGAATGCCAGGACCCAAGGTTTCCAATTTGAGCTAAAGTAGTTCTTCTATGTTATCCAGCCAGACAGGATAGCCTTCGGACCCCACGTGCATCATTGAGCCTTGGGTGCCCATGACCCTGACATTAGTACACCGCTTGTCCTTCTTTGCACCACTTTGGGTAGGTACTAACCAGTGCATACCGAGAACACCCCACAAGGCTTGTTGTTTTGGAGATGCTTTGACCCAGTTGTCTAGTCCTCACTGAGTGACTTTGGTCCTTGTCAAAGTCACTCAGATCTTTTTGCTTTCCCGTTTTTACTGCTTCCAACAAATACAATTCAAGAACTGACAGTTCACATTATGCCTAATATATCCCACACCTTGACAGGTGTCATTGTAAAAATATAATCAATGTTATTCACTTCCCCTGTCGGTGGTTTTAATGTTGTGGCTGATCGATGTATGCATCCCATGATTTTAAAAAATGTTACACTTTTGTAAACAAAAAGCACTTTAGTAGCAAAGAGGTTAAAAGGAACAACCTTAGCACCATAACCACTACAGAGGTGGATCTTCTCATTTATTTTAGTTAGTTTTTTAAAGTATCATGGTGTGTAGAAAACATAACAAAAAAAAAGAGTATATTATAAAATATAAAACATTATAAAAAAATGTACAGAGCTACATACTATCAGCACTAATAGAATATTATGTTGTACAGGTCAATAACTGTGTTTTTTAAAAGTCTAAATGCTTAATGTCATTTTCCAGCTGGATGACCTTTTAGAAGACCTTTCTTCCAGCTGGGAGATGTTTATTGGAAATCCTAAAATATCTTGTGCCCTGGAGAGTGCTGTGACAATGACTCCGCTCAACGGTCTCCTAAGCTTGGAGAGAAAATGTTTTCAAAAGGTTCAAGGAAGAGTGATCATCAGAGGGCTGATTTTTCTTCTTCAATGGATCTTGTGTCATATATTGACGTTTTGCGTTTAATTTATCTGTCTGTCAGTGAGCCTAATCTGTCTGCTCGCATGACATCTGTCTGTCCACCTGCCTATCTGTCCGTCTATCCTTAAACAAAACCCAGGCAGGAAAACTCTTAAAGCCTAACTTCACAGGAAGAGTATTGTATGAACATAGTTGCTTACAAACCAACAATTCAAAAACTGCTCCAACAGAATGTATACAGAATCAATATTATCAAGGCTGGACGGTTTCATCAATATAAAGTGGATTCTTTACAAAGGAGTGCTGAAACCATATTACATATCTTGGTCTAAATGTAATAAAATATCCAGCAGAATTCACATTGCTCAACTGTTCTGATTGACCTTCTTTGGTGCTGAGGACCCAATGATTCTCCAACTCATATTTAATGTAACTACCATCAGTCTTCATTGCTGCCTGTAAATGTTGTCTGTTCTGTAGTCCTGCTGATCCAACTGACCATGGACCCAAATGTTATTAAAAAAACTAGGTGTGTGGAGCTAACTGAGCTGGTGGCCGGACGCAGGTTGCAGATGACCCTTTTCTCTATATTTACTCAACTGGATGCCAAATTTACTATTTTGCAAGCTACCCACCACACCCAAGAGTATTATGGTACAGAATCACAAGAAAAAGGCACCAATTCCTACCAAGCACCCAGACCCTGATGCCATCGTCATACGATGTTCTAACGCTAATCAACTCAAGATGGTACCAGCTGGGCCTTTAAACTCTGGGCCGTCAAATTAAGGCTCCAAGTTTGACTCTGTGGACCAGGGACGCGACAAGGCTTTTCACTGTGCTGGAGGCATAATAATGTAGCTCTCTCTTCAGAGACTTTAAGGCTTTGTTTCATATAGAGCTTGGGGCATATGGCAAGAAGTGGATGATTTATCTCACAGGTTGTCTACTTTGGACAAAGTGTCTGCAGCGGCACAACTACATGTGGCTCACCTGGATCAGTGGCAGCTGTGTAAAGTTTGGACTCTGCAATGTGCAGATTCGAGGCATTGGAGGAAACCATAGGGCCATAGGGCTCAATGAGCTATTGGCATGTGGTAACAAAATGTTGGCCTCTCTTTGCTCTGGTTTGCCTGAGAGTGTGATGATGTCCGACAGAGCTTACCGTATACATAGAGCTCTTATGACTTTGATTAACTCTTCTAGGGATGTGATAGTTCAAATGTCATCAATGGCTGACACGAGGAAACAACTGGCTGTGGCTAGAGCAACTCCACATATCCGCTTTGACAGACTGAAGCTCTTAATTTATAGAGACATACCCTATTATTACTACAACGGAGTAGGAAGTATTCTATCATTACAGTTTTCTTACACGACAGGGGTATCCCCACCAATGGGAACTTGGACGCGGACTCACAGCCACATACCATAATCAGCAGTTTATTTCTCCAGATTATCTTAAGGCCTTCTTTAAATCCATGGACCTTCAGCAAACCACAGAGGTGTCCTTGGGGTCCTGTTCACCCTCAGAGCACTTGCAACCTGCACATGATTTTATTAAATGACCAGATCTGTCTTCTTAGGTGATGGCTTCACGAGCTCCAGGTGGAACTGTGGTACTTTTTCGTTCACTACTTTGCTTAGTACTCACCAGCACTCTGGGGGACTCACTCTCTTTTTTGTTTCTCGTTATAGTCCCTGTGGATACCCATTTTCATTAGTTTTAGGTTTGGTTTTAGCTTTTTTTTTTTAGAAGCCGACTTTCACTTGCTCGGGGACCACCATGCTATGCTGCTATAATGTGCCCTGCTCGCTGATGTCTTTTCCATTGGCTCCTATTAATTATGTTGGGGATATTCTACTTCTGCTCTGATCTGAATTTATTTTTATATCTCCATATTTCCTTCTTACTATGTGTATTCTAAATTCTAAAAACCCTTTTACAATAGTAACTCAAGTAATTTGTGATATTGTGTTATTTATTTATTTATAAAATAATTTACCAAGAAGGATACATTGAGATTTCCCTCGTTTTCAAGTATGT